ATAATTATATACATTAGCTTCATAATAAATAGTTATAAAGTAAATATGTAATAAATAGAATATTTTTTAATAAATAGAATAGTTATACATTAAATATGTAATATAAAATATTTTTAGATAAAAAACGAATTAGTGCAAAAATATATTCTTATATCAATAGTTTATAGTTATTGCTCAAAAATTATTCAATTAAGTAATAAATTATTATTAGGCACTATTATTTATTAACGGAAACCAATAACACGTAGATTAAGACACGTAATGATAACAAAAATAAAAGAAAAAAGAAATTAACTAGCATAATAATTATTTACTTTAATAATGAACGATTACACTTTTCAATGGAGAGAAAGTCCAAACTCTGTTCGAGATTTCATTGGCATATTTACAGACTCTTTTTATCAGGTCTAATATCTGTCACAAAGAAATCTAACTTAAATGTTGACGAATTATGGAGAGGACGTTAACACGTATTAAAATTAATAAGTTAAAGAAATGGAGAATAATTAATAAAGTTATTAATGATTTTTATCTGATAGCTTTCTGCAGTTCTCTAGCATAAACATATGTAACAGAGTTGAGAATTAATCGATTAAAATTTTTAATTTGATTAATTGATTAATGTTTACGATTAATAAAATTAATCGCCAAAAAAATCAGTGATTAATTTAATCGATTAATAGTGTTAATCATCGATTATTAATTATTAATCATTACATCAAATTTGACTGTAATTCCATTTAAATTGAATATATATTTTGAAATTGCAACAAAGCACTGACGCTTTATAGTTAAGATATTGAAATAAAATAAAAAATTCCTAATTTATATTATCGAGAGGTATAGCTATACAATCCATATGCTTAGCTGCAAGCCTAATTAACTTTCTTTTAAAATTTGTTAAATAAACAAGCAATAATAAAAAACTTTATTTCATTACATTAAGCATTAATAATATTTCATTATTCATTTATAAAGGCTTTACCATATGTCTGTACATTATTACACGGTATCTCGATCGCTAGTCGCGAATAAGACACATAGAAAACGTTTATTTCACTGCGCAAAGAATTTCAACAGTTATTCGTTAATGAGCTATATAATTGACAATTAGAATTGAAAGAAACAATCGTTAATAACAATTAACCATAAAAGTAAAAATTTAATTCTTAATCGTAATTAACGATTTAAAGATATTTGATTTAAATTAGATCTAAATTAAAAATTTAATCACTATTTGTAATTAATAACTAAAGTTGAAATGTAATGTTGAAATTGCTATTAAAAATTACTAGACAAAATTTAATTAATTAATCGTTGATTGATTTTTTGCCCAATTTTGATATATAATTTACGATATACTGAATTGTAATTGCAGTCGTGTCTACTCATTGAATTACCAAGTGTACGAGAAATAAATCTCAGGAGCTTTCCCAATAGCTTGAATATACGTATTTCTTTCGATGGAGAACTAGATGACGCTGGCATACTCGATGTCCCAAGTGAGACAATGTCAAAGAATAAAATAATAATCTGAAAGTATTGGGACTTTTGAAGTTCTTACGAAAACGAAAAATGAAACCAATTTCTTAATACCAATTTTACGATAACATAGCCGATGTGATTGAAATACGATAGTTTAGTATCATACCCAGCAAGTGCCTTAACGTTGTCAACAGAAAATAATATTTCGTTTATTAAGTACAAATAAAATAATTTTCTTCGAGATATTCTCATTACACTTGGAGATGTTTAGATACAACTTGTTACATCAATCAGAAAATCTATTGAGATCCAGTTATAGGTCACTGGCATCGAAATGATCATTTATCCTGGTGAAAAATATTAAATCGTCCCGCAAACGAAAAAGGAACTGCTTTATTGAACATAATTGACAGGTTGTTAGCTATCCCAAATGAAGAGGCAAAAAGACCGATATTATATTAAGAATTCTGATAACATTCTGATAATTTAAAATTGGTGACATAATCACATAAAACAAATAGTAGATTGAAATCCGTTGAATGATTTTTTAAAATCCGTATACATAGTATAATAAGTTGACCTGTGAAGAGACGTATTATCAAAATCGATATAGTTTTCATAATTATTTATTTATTCGACTATGATAAGTGTTTCTATATAAAATATCAGATTATAAAATAACTAAATAGATTTATCTATATATCGTTCAATAATTTTGTTTATGTTTACATGAAACTCATATGAGTATTATAAAGTAATCGCACGCAGATAATTATCTATCTTACTTGGTTTTGTCTGTCCTCCTTTATTTCAATTTACTTTATGTTATCGTTTTCACATTGCAGTAGGTACTTCCTTAAGTCACTCCGTTCTACGGAATCACGATTAATCCAGGCGTGGGTGAAGTAGATCAACACCAAGCTGGTGCAAACTTTTAACTATCAAGGAGCTGGAGCAGGAAAGCGGCAGGAAAGTTTCGCGGAGTTCGTCTATCCGGTAAGTTTCGAGAGTCCGAGATATCGTCGAGCCATCAGCTGCCCTCCTGCTCCTCCTTCTTACTTCTCTTAGCCACCTTCTTCTACTGACGCATCTTCTTTCTGTCTCTTCCTCTCCATCGTATTTTCTAAAAAATTAAATTCGCGTAAAATATTTAAAAAGAAAAAGCTGTAACATTTTTAGTTTACTTTTCAAGCATGATTTTATACTTGAAAATTTGTAAAATCATTCTGATACAACACAGTAAATCACCTGACGATCTCTTCCAATTTATTTATATAATATATAGTTTTTTCAGATTCTTCTTTCACCAATTTTAATATCGATTGTTTTCTTCTTTTGGTTACTATTTAGATTCGATGTTTCGTTACTGTTTAGATAACGATGTACTTTTGAAGAATTAATTAAACAACATAAAATATTTTACAAAATTTATAAATACATTTTTTAACCCTTTTGATTCGGGAAAAGAGAGTCTTTCGATTAAATGAAGGAAATGAAATATAAAACAAAATTTTAAAAATATCTTATTTAATACAAAAGTTATAATAGTTCAACTATTATGTTTATACAATATTTTCAATAATTTTTCGTAAAGTCTGTTAAAATAAAGTATAACAAAGTCTTGAATGTAATAGGATTACATGAATATAAAGATATTTTTAGAAGAGATAATGTCAGAATAAAAAAATTACGAAACTGTGTGTACGCGCGCGTATAACCATTATTATTATAGTTATAATCAGAATAAATTTACTGTTTTGTACTATATATGTGATAATTGTACTATATGTATGATAATTGTATATAGGTTTTCGTAAGATTTCAATTTGTTTATGTATTTGTTTGAATAAATGTAAAAAAAATTGTAAATATTTCAAAAATGTTGTAATCTTACTATCAAATTAATTAAAATCTATAAAATCAAAACTTTCGTTTCGTTTTAAAATTATATATTTAAAACCTGACAGATACATACAGATTAACTGCATTGTGGTATAGTTTTATTAATAAAGATCTATAAAAAAAGTCCGTGCAAAATTAAACATGATTTTCAAGAAGAACACATATATAGTTTTTTATTACATAGTATTCTACTTATCATGAGGAGAAATAGTCTTCCAGGAATCATAGGTCGCACCGCTTTGTTGGGAAAAAAATTTTTAAATCCCACAGTTTTTAAATTGTAACCTTATTTGTAATCTGTTGATATTCTATGGTCAAATAAGAAAGTAGCATCAAATACCCAAAATTTTCCATTATTCCCGTATTTTCTTTTTTTTCTTTTTTCTTTCTTTTTTTTTCGTCGAAATCGTATTTTCATACTTCGTCAAAGATTATGTATTGACTTAATAAAAATCACATTTATTTTAACTGTACAAAGAGTGTAGTGTATTCATTTGAACAATGAACAATTTCTTCTCATAAAGAAAAATGTTCATTACTGATGTCGAAATCCGTCGAAAAGTTGAAGTGATTTGCACAAGTATTTGGACATTTAACGTAAAAAGACATAATATATTATGTATATTATAAACAGAAAATCATACAATACTTCGTTTTATTTTAAAGCGCAAAGTTTTTACTTTGATAATCTTGAGTTCAATATTTCCAAAAATATTTTTATATCATATAGCAGATGGGAAATTAAGGATATTTTGGTTCTTGAAAATTGTAAAAATTCTAAAAATAAACTTTAAAAACATTTTTTTCTTTAAAAAGTTTTTCGGTGCTAGACTTATCGTTATTTTGAAGAAATTGAAATTTTCTCTTTACATTGATCCTTTAAAGCTTGTTCTATGATTTTATTAAATTTTAAATATTAGAATTAAACAACAAAATTCAAGAAATCTTAACATTTTGTTATTTAACCTTGATGTTCAAAGTTCAACAAAATGAACGAAGAAAAATAAAAATTATTAGTTTAGGAGATACTTTTACTTTAATTTCGTAAAATCTATCAAAGATAAAGAAAGATAAGAACTGTATTTTTGTATTCATTATTACGCGATACGAAGGTACCGTTAAAATATTTTGTTACTTAGAAAAAGTCTTCCCGCCCGTGCAATAAAACGGAGTTTATTGATTATTGTTAGAGACCTTTCTCCCAATTTTTATTAAGGTCCCAAGAGTCCTACGAAAGGTGTGTGTATGTCCCGTTGACGTACCTAGGTCTATAAATGACTGAAAAATGGGAGAAGTTTAATTCATTATTCCGAATTGCCAATCAGCGAGCTTCAATCATTGCACAAAGCATCCTCCGAGATATATAAGCAACCGACTAACACATCTCGAAACAACGATATTTAGAGAGTGTCTCAAACACTCACGAATAGTGTTGCCTATGTCGTTATACGACTGATAACGTTTAACGGATAATAAAGTTTAAGGACATTATAACGTAAGATCACGGGACCTCAAATTTCTACAACTGGAAGTCTCACCTACACTCAGGGAGACCTGAACTTGGAAGAACTAACCGCAAGCCAGATCTGCTCTACGACAGACAAACTCATTAAATGGAACATACCACAAAAAAGAAAACACAAAGAAGAAAAAATACAAATCCTAACTACTCGAACACGGTCAACATCGCTATCTGATTCACTACACATGTGATATCCAGTCACAAAGATCAATAAAATAGAAGGTATGGATATTATAAACACAGCTATACAAACTAAAAATAGGTTCAGCTTATTTGCAGAATGCCACACAATCGAACAAGAAAACGCAAATCAAAATAACGAATCCCTCAAGGGTAACACATCAACACATATCAAACAAAACACAATACCAAACAAAAACACAAGTTACAAAGTCACAGAACACTAAACCACTTCCCATCTATGAACATGGAAACATAAATCACGCCAAGATCCTGGACGCCTTTAGAGAAAAATACAACAATGCTTTTCAAATCAAATTCACCTTTAACAAACTCAAGATCATGTTTGCTAATCTTAACGACTTTACTGAAAATTATTTACCAGAAGGAAAACATTGAATACTACACGTATACTGTCAGATCAGAGAAATTTATCATTGTAGTACTAAAAGGTTTCATAAAACTTTCTGAAGTAAGAATCCTCAATAGCATCAAAAACCACGGACTTAATCCCAATTTACAATGTATAGACCATGCAAAATACCCGTAACCTCAATAGCACAAATTGACCACATCAGGTACATCGATAATATTAAAATTTGCTGGGAAAAATTCGAGTCGAACAAACCTTACCATACAATGTTTTAGATGTTAAGCTCACAGGCACACTTCAGCAAACTGCAACAAGAAAGCAAGTGTGTAGGATGCATTAAGTGTGTAGGATTACATGATTCCCGTACGAAGATATATTTGAAACATCCCCTACCTGCGCTAACTGCAAGGGAAACCACCCAGCTAACTTTTCCAAATGTCCTGCCCTCCTAGCCTACCTCTTCAAAAAACAAAAACGCATACTCCAAGAAAATCCTACCTACAACCTTCACCTTCCTCTTTACACACTTACCATTTCCTCAGCATTTATAACAAAGCTCTCTACACTCTCCTACCCTCACGTACCACACATGGACTTAAATATGGCATGACATACAAGCTCTCATACCTCAACAGCCACAACATCCCTTATCTTCAATAGACCAACAGTCCCGATTTCACAGAACAATTAGATCACCTAAAATCAGCCAATTTCGATCTTTTCCTACAAATCATCACACTAATACAAAAATATTACATCAAATGTACTAATAACCTCGATAAAGTCAAAGTCATTATACAAATTGTCAAAGAATTAGAAAATAGCCACTCTTAAAAATACACTTAATATCACTTTATGGAACGCTGCTAGTGTTAAAAATAAAATTACTGCACAAATTTCTTGGTTAAAGCCCTCAGACGTCTTTAAACTAAACAGCTATAATATTTATCGAAATGATCGACCTCCCACCACTTCCAAAAACACTAGAGGAGGGGTACTTATAGCCGTTCGTAAAGACATCCAAATGTAAGATATTCTTCAGCCCCTTTTTTCCAATATAGAATTCATCTCGATTAGATTAAAACCCATACTCTCACTTACCATAGAAGCTTATATTTCACTTAAAACCAAAATAACCCAATCCGATCTAGACAACATTATTCTACCACCCAACACCTCACTTCCTCATCGGCAGAGATTTCAACGCCAATTAACTAATAATACACAGCTTAACCTACACCCACAGACAACCTAATTGGACACCCACAAATATCGACATATTCCTATCCAATGTACGGAGAGCCCTACCTATCGGCAAAAGTCGGGTTCAAGAAACAAAGCACTCTCGGAGACAAATAAGCACTCACTTGACACGTTTTAACTGTCTTTTCGAACAGTTCTTCCTCGATATTCCTGCCGACAAGTTCGATT